CCGTGGCATCAGAATCACCTCTGCTTGTTGAAAATACAGATTCTGGGGCCCTGGCCTAACTCTCCAAATCAGAATGCTTGGAACCCCAGAATCTGCATTTAACAAGCACCTAAGAGATGTTGTTACACAACAAAGCTTGAGAACCACAGGCCTAGGTCACAAAGGTCCCTCCCCAATGTCCAGAATCAGCAGAGAAGTCAAGACCCAAATCATATAAATCTACATGTTTAATGAGAAAGATGAAAATAATCTCAGCTCTGAGCCAAAAGGGAAGAAATGTCACCAAATCACAAATACTACAGAACAATAGAAATTCTTGCCCTGGAGTACACAGGGTAGGGGAGCATGGATCAGCATCGGTTGAAACCAGCCTGCTGACCAAACCCCTCAACTCTAACTGGGTGTCCTAAACAGCTCATCGGTGCTCACTTCCCACAGCCAGGCTCCCAGAGTGGAAGCTGGACCTAGAAGCAATCCGGTTCTCACGCCTGAGGGAGCCCTAGAATCACCTGAAGGGCTTCTTACAGCACTGATCACTGGGTCCCAGGCCCAGAGCTCCTGATTCAGCAGGTGGGGCCCAAGAATTTGCATTTCTAGTAGGTTTGCTGGTGAAGCTGAAGCTACTGGCTTGGAGGGCGGGGAGAGGCATATCTTCTCCCATCCACATGGAGGAGATAATCGGGTTGGTGAGCTAGCACCAGGGAATACAGTGTGTTGGTCCTCTGGAGTGAAGACATAGAATGGGATAGTTGAACTGGAGCAACAAGAATCATGTGATCAGGAGAAGGAATGGAATGGAGGTACCAAAAGGCTGAGGTCCAAGAGGGCACACAAGACAGGTCACCCACTTCACAGGTGGCCCAGCATTGTCCCTGGTCACAATCATTCATCCCAAACAGAATCTAATCCAATCAGTTTTTACAAAGGACTGACTATGGGCCAGAACCTGTGCTAAGGGATTCTCAGGGAAAGTGTCCCCATCCCTGACTACAAAGATCCTTTGGTCTCCAGTGAGCAAGAAGACCCTTCTACCTACTTCTGTAATAATACCAGTAAAAGAAATTCCTAGCCGCTATAACATTAGCAAATAATTCAATTATCAAATCATAAGTGCTTACTAAATGGCTCCTATTGGCCAGCACTGCGCCGAATTCTGTAGGGAAACCATTGTATAAGATGGGTTCCCTGACCTGGAGATACGAGCTCGTCTCCATGAAGAGGGTCTGTAATATGAAACTTCATCAGCTCAGTGTGGGAATTCCGAGAAGACTGCTCAAAAAGAGTTGAAACTGCTTCCCCTCACCGCTGCCTGAAGATACAGGTGACAGGTAGAGCTCAGGAGCCACCTGGACCACAGGGTGACCAAAAGGATGGAAGTCACAAGCTGAGGAAGGCAAAGCGGAGAGTAGAGGAGGCGGTGTTTCTGATACATGGGGTCACCACACTAGTGGTGAGATGAAAATTAACTTCTATCTTGTTTAACCCCGTTTTGTTTGTTTTCTCTGTCTATATAGCCAGACTTAATCCTGGATGACTCCTGAGGGCCAAGTAACCAATTTTATCGGACACTTGGGTTAGGTAAGAATCCCATTCTTGGCCTGGGTAAGTCTCCTTTCCCAAGATGAACACACTGAGCCAGCTAAGACAAAAACCACCTAAAGTCAGTGATATTAGACATATACAAGCTGTTATGACCCTCAAAGAGCTTTGGAATTGGACAAGTCTTACAGACTTTCTGATCCATTTGATAGATGAGGAAGTTCAGACTCAAAACAAAAAAAAATTTCCCAACTTCTCCAGGCTGGGACTTCTTCTACTAAAGTAACTTTCATCAGAAAGATCTGCTCATTAACTAGAGGAGTCCATAATAGTACTTTTGCCAGATCTAAAAATAGAAAAGAACAACAAAACAATTTCACAGAACATCTCAATTAATTAATTGCCCAAAGAAGTCAAGCTCAGGTCCTTAGGAACAACACAGAAGCTATTTACATATTTATGAGAGGGGGGAAAAATGCATAATGTGACTTTGCACATTTAACCCTGTCCCAATATTTACAGCACACTCCTGTCTTGGCAAGCAGGTGTCAATTCTATATTTGTGCCTAAAACTTTCTCCTAAAGCCAATTTATCACTCAACTAATCAGGAGATGTTTATTGGCTGGGAATTCGTCAGGAAAATTCCATGACCAGGGGTTGTCTGCTGCAGGCATCATTTAGAAAAAAGGCAGGTTAGACAGTTTAAGAAGCAAGTTGATTTTTTTGAGAAGAAATTCTTGGAAGAGGAAATTTTAAAAATCAAGTGCCTATAACCTGGGGCTACCACCTCACTTTCAAATTTCCATCCCCTTCAAGAGGGAAACAACCTAAAGCTCCAGAAAGAATTAAGACAGGATCTAGCCAGGGGACTGTGGAGATGATAATGCATGAGAAAGGCAAAGATGTTCACACTGGCATTGTTTATAATGGAAAACAAAATGGAAACATAATTACCCATTAACAGGAAGATTTTTTTTTTTAGTAAATTATAAGCAGGCCGTGGAATATTACATAGCCATTACAAACGATGGGGCAGATCTACACATGCATCTGTGGGAAGAGCTCTAGAATATGAACTAATTTTTTTTTTTTTTTAATCAACAGCAGGAGCGCCTGGGTGGCTCAGTTGGTTAAGCATCTGCCTTCGGCTCGGGTCATGATCTCAGGGTGCTGGGATCAAGCCCCGAATAGGGCTCCCTGCTCAGCGGGGAACCTGCTTCTCCCTCTCCCTCTGCCCTTCCCCCTGCTCGTGCTCTCTCTCTCACATTCTCTAATAAATAAAATCTTAATAAAAAAAATCAAAGTGCAAAAGAGTGTGTGCACCATGCCTTCCTTCACATAGTTAAAAAGAACACACATATGGAATAGGATGTTTCTGGAATGATAAATAGGTGGTATCTTTAGAGTGAAAGACCGAATTTTTGTTGGGGGAGTTCATTTTGTAACTGTATGTACTATTTGAACTATTTTTACCAAGCACATGTGGGGTTTTTTTTAAGTATTAACAGGGCTTGGTAGAAGAGTTGTAAGTCTTTTTTCTTTTTTTAAGGGAAACAATGTGTAAGCAATTGCTTTCAAACTCTGTTCTCTGGAATCCTAAAATTTTTAAAATATGTCCGGCAAGGAGTGGGCAGGACTGCTAACCTGGTTCCAGCCAGAGTAGCTGTGCTTTATAGCCTATGTTCCTGGACAATATTTCTTGCAGGAATAAAAGAGTTCCACCACTAAAAAATACATTCCAAAAACCACTGGGACAAGGGCAATGTAAATGCACAAGGTTATTTGTATTGTTTTTATTGAGAAAAATGTGCCCAAGTTTTCCAGCACGGACCTAAAGGAAGGCTGTTTATTCAACTCTCAGGAACTGATAGGGTCTGAAATCCACATTTCTGGAATCCCTGAGGTTTATCCATGGAGTAAGATGAACAGTGTCTCTGCCCCCACCCCCCAACACACACACAGAATTCATGTTTACCTGGAACCTCAGAATGTGACCTTGTGTGGATATAGGGTCTTTGCAGACGCAGTAAGTGAAGATGAGGTCACCCTGGATGAGCGTGGGCCCTGAGTCCAATGACTGGTGGCCTCATGAGAAGAGGAGAGGACACATGGGGACACACACGGGGAGAGAGCCATGTGACTACAGAGGGAGAGATGGGAGTGACGTCTCAACAAGCCAAGGAACACCAGTTTTAAAGGCACCGGGTTTGTAGTAATTTGCTGTGGCGGCCCCAGGACACTGACACACTCACCAAAGGACGAGAGAAGGAAAACCATGTGCACAGGCCACGAACCAACAACTAAACCAAAAGAGGTTTCCACCCTTCAAGCGGGAAACCTCTACTGCATCGCTGTCAAACTTGGGCGTGCTCAGCTTCACCTGGAAGGCTTGTTAACACACAGATTCCTGGGCCCCAGCTGCAGAGTTTCTGGTCACCCAGGTCTGGGGTGGGGGCCCGAGAATCTGCACCTCTAACAGGTCTCCAGCTGCCGAAGCTGCAGGGCCAGGGACCACCCTTTAAGAAGCATGTTCCAAACAGAGGTGAGCCCACGGCACCCACTCCCCAAAGCTGCTACCTGAGAAGCAGCACTTCCTTCTTCTTCACAGGTTAGCCTCTCAGGTAAGGTTTTTTTTTGAACAAAAGGTTCTACAACTAAATTTAAAAAAGAAACTTCAAGAAATCTGCAGTGTCTCCTCTCCTCCCAAAATACCTTAGACTGTGTAGGAGACATCTGTTGTTTTTGCCTCCCCGGGCTCCAGTCCTCCTTCTGCTCATCTCTCCCGGCTTTCCTGTGGGAGCCTTCCTTGCCCCACTCCTAGCCCATGGGGTTCATGGCGAAAGATGACACCTAGCACCGGTGACCCAGCCCAACCGAGCAGAGTGACTGGTTCCAGGATGGGCACCTGCTGGGCCCCTTAGATGAAATTCGGGGAAAAATGATGAAACTATTGAGAAAAAGCAGTTCTTTCCCCTAGAATTGCAGAGCTGGGAGGACGGGGGAGCACCAGCAGCTTCTCTGACACTCATGGGGAAATCCTGCCCAGGGACATTGTCAACAGTGGACAGGAAAGCCTGGAGCAGCCAGGGAGGGAATTCCCTAAGCTGTGTCTGAGCCCCTGGATGCAGCTATACCTGAAGCTGCCCGACCAGAAAATCCGTGCCTTAATTTTTCCATTGCAGAGCCAATAAATTCTTGTGATTCATAGACAGACAATTTACTTAGCTGGTTCGAACTGGGTTTCTCTGGATGGCAACCACAGGATTCCTGACTAATACAGATCTCAATACTGTCTTCCAGGAAGCAGGGACCTGAAGAGGGATGAACCAAGTGACATCAAGGACCCTTCCCGGTCAGGACTCAGCGCACTTACACGTCACAGGAGCAAAAATGTGAAGGAAGTTCTAATTTGGGGAAAGGTCCTCAGAATCCAAAAGCAGGTCCTGGTTCAAGAGCTAACCTGTTAAGGAATTCCTCGGAAAGACTTTTCGGAATCGGTGACCTCATCCGACAGGAGGCGTCTGGCTGGAGTAACAGGAGCCCAACTACAAGCGGCTCGAGCCATCGGGACACGTGTTTTTTACTTGAGGCAGAGGCCGAAGGGTGGGCGGCGGCAGGGCTGCCTCGGAAGCACGTTCGCGTCATCGGGGCCCCGGCGGCGCGCCAGCTTTCCGCTCCACCTCCTCCGCAAGCTGGCAGGCTCTCCCCGCGCCGCCGCACCACCAGTCATCGAGTCCTCACGCGACTGCGTCCCAGTCAGGAGAGAAGGACGAGCAGAAGGACCCTCTCCGCCAGATTCCTTCCTCCTCAAAGAGACAGCTGTCCGAAGAAACGCTCTTCTACCTCATTGGCTAGACCCTGGTCACATGGCCACGTCTAAACTAATCACTGGCAAAGAGGGAGCTGATTGACACCCCGGCGGCGACCCATCAGGGTTCACTGCTGGAGCTGGGCCCCTCCCCTCCAGAACGAATGTTGTTCTAGCAAGGAAGCCACGTGGCTGCTGGGTAGGCGGCCAGGGGTGTCTGCGCAGGGAATATTCATTCTGTCCATCCCTCCGCGCACCACGTACCCACCAGAGATTTCCGACCACGGAAGGGATCCTTCCGAGCTTGAAAAGGTTCAGCCCTGACCACAAGCCCTGTTGCTAAAAGCATCTGAGCCCCATTCCCCCGTGAGTTCCAGTGGGGGACCCAGGAGATGTCCGAAATGCTGAGGTCGGGAGGGCATCGTGACCCAAACTGTTCGACTTCCCCCGCAGGCCTCTTCGGGGTCAACAGCCGAGAGGGTTGCCGCTGCCTTCCCGCCCCGGAGGTGCCCACCTCCCCAACTCTCCATTAATCAAGATCCAAAGCCAAATCCCTCCTCAGCCGCCGACCATCTGCAGTTGTTCGCACACCTGTGTTCTGGTCCCTGGAGCCCCCGAGGTGCTAATGAAGGCGGCAGGCCCGGGACACAGCCGTGCAAAGTCTGGCCAGTCCAACCTCAACGAAGCTTCACAGTCCCCATCCTGAGGCTCGCAAACCAAAAGCGGGCAGAGCTGGGCCTCTGCTGCCACTAGTTCAAGATGATGAGGTGGCAGATCCCAGCTACTCTTGCTGTCTTCATTTGGGGACCCCCAGAAGCAGATATGAGACAAGAATTCGAGGGCAGGTGATCGATCTGGGAGGTGACCCCAGGAAACATCAGGCAGGGTGTGGCGCCAGGAGACAGGGAAGGAGTCCATAGAGGGTGTGTCATCAAGGAGAGCAGGGCGGAGGCACACAGCGCTGGGGGCCACCCGGTTCCATCTGCCGGCAGCCGTGGGAGCCAGTGGAGAAAACACTGGGAGGTATCCCACCCCAAGGAGAATTCAAGGACTCCCGGAATTCATTAGTTCCTGGCACTTTTGTTCAGCCCTACACACAAGGACAGTGCTTCCAAATGGCCCAGTTGTCAGCAGTGGGACGGTGGGCCCCACAGGAATGGCAAGGGGTGCCCGCAGGGGATGAAAGTGCCTTCTACACTTGCCAAATCTGCCTTAGTGTCCAAGCTGCAGACTCTGCATGATCCTGTGATAAGGCACCATGGGATCAAGAAGAACCCACCCCAGATGGGTCCCTGCAGCACCAGCAACAGCACTTGCACTGGGCCTGGAAGGAGTTTGCCTTTTGCAGCCTGGCAGGCACCTCTGACCCTGCCCCAGTACTCAGGACCCATCACAGGAGCCCCACTGAGCAAAGTGGTTAAAACCACAAGCTCCAGAGCAAGACCGCCTGGGTCTGAATCCCAGCTCTGCCCCTCAGGAGTTGTGTGGCCTTGACTGAGTTACTCAACCTTTCTGTGCCTTAGTTTCTTTTTCTGTAAAACGGGAATCATGATAGTCCTTCCTCGTGAGGACTTGTGAGGATTAAATGAGTTAATATATGTAAAGCGCTTTCATACCTGACATGAAGTCAGCCCTTCACAAATGTAGCTCACCTGGGTCTCCCCATTCGTTTCTCATCAACTGCCCCAGCAGACACCCTCTAAGAGACAGTAGGATTTTCAATATCCTTTCTACCTAACGCTGGTACAGCACTTAATAGTTTATGATGCGTGCATGTGATTATCCATTATTATAACTGCCAGTCCCCAAAGGCCTGCAAAGCACTGGGCACAGTCACGCATCAAACATGCATTCACTCTAATCCTGCAGACCATGAGCTCCAGGAGAGCCGGGACCATGCTGGAATGATTCTCCATCACCCTCCGGTGCTAAATGGAGTGTAGGGCTGGCTAAATAAATAAATAAATGACCAATCCTATAAACCCTACTAGGTAGACCTTACCCCCATTCTACAGAGGAGAAAGCTGAGACTCAAGGAAGGGCAGACCTAATTCTGAAGCGTGGTTCTTTCTACTGCGCCCATGCAGCCTTCTTACTGGACCCTCCCAATCACCCTAACAGATAGAGAACACTTTTACTAACAACATAATCTTGGGCAATTTGCTGACGTTTTCTGTGTCTGCTTCCCCATCTGCAAAATAGCAAGGACAACAGTCCCTCCCTCAGGAGGTGGTTGTGTGTGTAAATGTTTCGATGTGTAGAAAGAGCTTAGAGCAGTGCTGGGCACAGCAGGTACTCAAGAAATGTCAACTCATATTATCATCAATCCCATTAAACTTGAAGAGGTTAAGCAGCTGGTCTAAGGCGGAGCTGGGTCTGGACGCCAGGGTACTAACTCCCAGGGCTGGGTCCATTATTTGGTCTGACACAACTCTGGGACTCCACGGTCATAGGCAACTTTGACACCCTTCCCTAGGAGCACACTACCGAATGTGTGGAGAGTTGATCCCACTGCATTAAAATGAAAACCAAATAGGAATATTTGAAATTGCACACAAAGATGTACATACCAGGACTCTCACCACTACATTTTTTTCCTATAAGGCAAAGACTAGAACCAGCACAAATGTCCATCACAGGGTAAAATGGGACTTTTGGACTGATAGCAAGCTAAGAGCAGAAGAATGCACTGGAAAACCTAGACCCTGTTTTCTCCCCTGAGATGGAGAATTGGCTGTACTAACTTTGAGTTTGGTGTAAAACCAGGGGAACCCCATATTTGCAGGCATTCCCTGAGAAAGAAGTGCATATTGCTAATATAATTTTGCTATAGATAAGCTACCTGTTCCCTAATCCACTTGCCCTTTGTGCTGAGCCCACAGCCGGAGTACACTTCCCAGCCTCCCTTGCAACTAGGTGTGGACACATGACTGAATTCCAACCAGCGGAATGCTAGTAGAAGAGAGGCGAGCTCCTGCCACACGTGGCCCATTAAACACTCCCACATGATGCCCAAGTGCTCGCTCTTCCCTGTGGCAGAGACTGGGGTGGGGGTAAATGAGCCTCAGGAATGAATAATCCTGGGTCCCTGAATCACCACGTGGAGGGCCTGCTTCACACCCTGACTGAACCCTTGCATGGGAAAGAGATCAAGTTCTACTGGACTACGCCCGCCCTGATAGAATAAGTTCTTCCCAGAAACATGATAGAAATCCAAAATATCGGGGTACCTGGGTGGCTCTGTGGGTTAAGCATCTGCCTTTGGCTCAGGTCATGATCTCAGGGTCCTGGATTCAAGCCCCATTTGGGGAGTCTGCTTCTCCCTCTCCTTCTGCCACTCCCCCTGCTTGTGTGCACGCTCTCTCTCTCTCGCTTGCTCGATCTATCAAATAAATAAATAAAACCTTAAAAAAAAAAAAAGAAATCCAAAATATTAAAAAGGCATAGCACAGCCAGAAGGCATCGGGAAACTAGGGGTCAAGGATGAAGAACCTACTTTTTTTTTAAAGATTTTTTTATTTATTTTTTGACAGAGAGAGACACAGCAAGAGAGGGAACACAAGCAGGGGGAGTGGAAGAGTTGGAGAAGCAGGCTCCCCGCAGAGCAGGGAGCCCGATGCGGGGGCTCGATCCCAACTGGGATCATGACCTGAGCCGAAGGCAGACGCCTAACGACTGAGCCACCCAGGAGTCCCAAAGAACCTACTTTTTGATAAATACCTCTTTTATACTTTTGGCATATTTATACCATGTGCCTGCTTTCAATTTAAGAAAAAAAAAAAAATTTAAGTGGCCAGAAAAAGCCAGGAAAGATTTGAGAGCCTTTCTAAAAGAAACCCATCAGAGATGCGGCTGGTCTTTGTCCTGGCCTCACCTTAGAAGCATCCCTGGGAGGAAGGAAGTATGTTCTCCAGTGCTGCCCCAATACAGACAGGGACGAGGTCTGGCTGCAGGGGAGGAGGAGGGAGGTCTTCAGTCCCTCAGGAAGCCAAAGGGTCCTGCCTCTGATAAGACAGTCTGACATATAACTCAGTGGTGGAGGAAAGGAAATAGGCAGCTATTTCCTAAGGCCCTAAATACCAGAGAAGTGCTGGCACCCTGAAAAGTCTACTTAAAGTGGACCCACTTAGTGCAAAGACGTAGACTCACCACATTATAATAAAGATACAATTAACCTAGAACATAATTAACATAGAATTGCCATATGACCCAGCAATCCCACATCTGGGTATACACCCAAGAGAAATGAAAACAGGTGTTCAAACAAAAATTTGTGCACAAATGTTCACAGCAACATTAATCACGACAGCTGAAAAGTAGAAACAACCCAAAGGTCTGTCAACGGATGAATGGGTAAACAAAATATGGTCCATCCATATGATGGAGTATTACTCAGCCATAAAAAGGAATGAAGTTCTGAACCATGTTACAACTTGGATGAACCTTGCAAACATGCTGAGTGAAAGAAGCGAGTCACAAAAGCTTACAGAGTGTATGATCTCATCTGTATGAAATACAGAACAGGCAAATCTATGGACAGAAAGTAGATTAGTGTTTGATAGGGGCTGGAGGGAAGGGGAATGTTCATGGGTATGGCTTTATTTTGGGGTGATGAAAATGTTTTGGAACTAGACAGAGGTGAGGTTGCACAACAATGTAAATATACTAAATGCCACTGAACTGTATACTTTCAAATGACTTAAATGGTGAGCTTGTGAATTTTAACACCAAAAAAAAAAAAAAAAAAGAAGGCATGACTAGGACTTTATCTAGAAAAGTGAAATAGAAATTTTGCAAAT